GACGGATGTGTGTACCTACCTGGTGGAAAGCATGCCCAGGAGGGTGAGGGCGGTAATTAAGGCGAAAGGGCGGTGATTAAGGCGAAAGGGCGGTGGACTAGGTACTTGTTTGGGGTTGATGTAACTTGCTGCTTGTGCCTGGCAATAATTGTCCGCATGTACCATGATTGTTAATTTATGTTATTTGTTGTAAACATCAATATCTTTGTGAGATGTAAGGCATAGGCATAGAGCCTTACCCCAACCTACATACACTAGGCACACCAAAAGATTAAGGCTTGATGTCCATGACCCCCTAAAACGGCAAAATTCCTCTAAGTCACAAACATGTGGACAATACTTTCCGCCACTGTACAAAGCAGAGCTAATCTCATCCATGTCCATATCAAAGATCTGAACACTACGGCAAAGCAAGCCATGCCAGTCGGGGGGGTCGGGCGACGGGAAGACGAAACAAGTCGTCCAGGCGACGAAAACAGCGGGCGGGGGTGTGACCGATCTTCCCGCACACGGGGCCACGGCGAGGACCTGTCTGGAGCTGGTACTGACAGCGCCCGTCACCTGAACAACCACATGATGGCACACTGCGACCACCATGTCCACCGCCACCACCAGCGCCAGGCCACCCGGGCGGGAGACCACCAGCCCGCCGCTGGTGCTGCTGCTGCTGCGATGCCTGCTGCTGCTGCTGCTGGTCCTGCTTCTCGGCTGAAAGACACGAAGCTGGGACTCAGTGCAGGCAGCACGCCAAGTCGCATCTAGCGTGCGCAGGTGGGCGGCCAGGTCAGCAACCATGGGGAAAGACGCGAGATCGAGAAAGAGCATGGGCACGATCAGACGACTGACTAAGGCAGCTGGTGGGGTGGAGTAGCGTGCGACAACAGCATCGAGGAACTCCTCCGCAGTCCTGATTGACCGAAACCGTGGGCGCTCAAACAGAGGGAGGGCATGAGTGATTGTGAGCTGTGCGACTGCGTCACGCTACAGCCAGATTGAGCGGGCAAGGGCGGCAGCGGCAGCGGACTCACGGTCAGCAGACAAGGGGTCAGCGGGCAGGGCAGCAGGGGGGTCAGGGCAGGGGAGCGTACCGCCGAGGTGGACAGCCATGGAGTGGCCGTCCTGCCACTGACCAGTGAGGTGGCGGTGGAGATCGGCGAGCCACGTGTCAAACTCAACCGGCTGGCCCTCCGCATCAAAGTGCAGCACCGAGTCCGCCATCAGGGTCGGTGCGGCGGCAAAAGGGCGGGGTAGTACAGTGCAGTGCGGTGCAGTGCGGTAGAGTGCAGTATAGTGTGGTGCAATGCGGTGCAAGGCAGTGCAGTGCGGTGCAGTGCAGTGCAGGGCAGTGCAGTTTGGTGCACGGTCAGCGCGGGCCGGCTGGAAGGCGAGGCCGGCTAGGCGACGGGGCCGACGCGGCGACGGGGTCGGCTAGGTGACGGGGCCAGCTACCTGGCGGAGTCGGCTCGGCATTGTCAGCAACGCGACAGGGTCGGCTTCGGGACGGGGCCGTCGACGGGACGGGGCCGGCTGCAGGGCAGGGCTGGCTAGGGGAACGGGCCGGCGGCGGGACAGGGCTGGCTACGGGGACGGGGCCGCGGGTCGACCGGGCCAAGGGGCTGCTATGGGACGGGGCCGCGGGGATGCTGATCGACGGGACCGAGGGGTTGCTAGGGGACGGGGCCGCAGGGCCGCTAGGGGACGGGGCCGCGGGGCCAAGGGGCCGTTAGGGGACGGGGCCACTAGGCCGCTAGGGGACCGGGCTGCGGGGCCGCTGGTCGACGGGGCCGAGGGGCCACTAGGGGACGAGGCCGCGGGGTTTCACCGCAGGTTTCGCCGACCCTTCTTTGGTCCGGGTCTCCTGGTGACGCCTCTGCGTCTCACGTCTTGGGCTGCCTTGCTCACGTTCGTGCCTCTGGCACGGACAAGCTCACTGCCCGCACCCTCCCTTGTGTCTTCCTCAGTTTCCCCCTTGACGCGTCCGACTGGCACTTCTACCACCCGCCGTCTCACCGGTTCTTTCACTCCCGTGACGTCGCCTTTGACGAGTCCGTCTCCTTCTACCGCCGCTTCCCCCAGAGAGGTCCCCCGGTTACTCCCCCCCTGTTCCTGGTCACCCATTCCCCGGTCGCCCCTGTCCCCCCCCCTCCCCCTCCCCGTCGGTTGTCCCGGTCAAGGAGTCTGCTGACTCTGGTGGCCCTTCCCAGGCGTCGCCTCCTCCGCCGCCTTCGCATTCGCCGCCGCTGTCGCAGCCGCCGTCACCGCCGCCGCAGCCGTCGCCACAGCCGATGTAGCAGCAGTTCGTTGACTATGGGGGTGCTGGCGCTGGGGTGGGTACTAGTCGTAGGGTTGCTGTCGTGGCTTGTCCCGGTGGGCCTGGGGATGGTACCGGTGTTCGCGGGGTTTCGGGCACTGGGGGTCTTCCTTCTGGGGGTGCTGGAGTGGAGTATTCCAGAGGTAGCCATGGAGCAGCTTGCCATCCCGGTGTCGGTGTCGTGCCGCTGTAGCAGCAGTCACCGCCGGTGTCAACCCTTCGCCAGCTCGGCCTCCCGTCCCCTGACCACGTGTCTGTGCCTCCCCTGCCGTCTCCTCCCCTTCCTCTCTACGGCCCTGTGTTCCCTCCCCCGGACTCATCTCCAACTCGTCTTCCTCCTCGTTCCCCTCCTGTGTCCCCTCCTATGTCTCCTGACCCGACGCCGCCGTCTCACGTCTGGTCTCGCCGTCCCTCTCGTGCTCGCCCCGTCTCATGTATTCCGCGCTCTCACCCTATGTTGCTTCGTTCCCATGCGTCTCGTCCTACCCTCCTACCGTCGCCACCTCCGACCTCTCTTGTTGTTGTGCCTCCCCCCCTGTCTGACTACCTTCGCGCCGCTCGTCCCCTTGTTCCTCGGGTCCTTGCCTCCCTCGTTACCGACCCGTCTGTTCCGGTCTCGTGTCTCGACGCTCTTGTCGCTGCGGTCGCTGACTTCACCACTACCCGCCGCCTTGACTACGCCACCGTTTTGGTCTCTGGGTCTGCCTGTCCTCCGTCTGTCGGGGGTGCTCCTGCCCTCGGCAGTGACGTCCTGGAGGACCGCCAGTACGAGCTTGCTTTCCTGTCCGAGGCTGCTCCCCATCTCTGTTCCATGCTGTTAGTCCCTGAGGGTGACTCAGACGCTTTCGACATCCCGACCCCTCGCACTTACGCTGAGGCAACCTCGGGACCTTGGGCCTCTCAGTGGATAGCTGCCATGGAGCAGGAAATGGCATCTTGGAGATCCATTGGCACCTACGTCGACGCAGTTCCTCCACCTAGGGTGAACGTAGTCGATGGCCGTTGGCTCTTCAAGGTGAAGCGCCCTCCAGGACAGCCGTTTGTGTTCAAGGCGCGCTACGTGGCTAGAAGCTTTAGTCAGCGTGAGGGGGTGGACTTTTTTCAGACTTTCGCCCTGACGCCGAAGATGACTACTCTTCAGGCACTGCTACACGTAGCAGCATAGCGTGAGTACGAGTTACACTCCCTCGACTTCTCCACTGCGTTTCTTCAGGGCAGTCTACACGAGCAGGTCTACCTGCGCCGCCCTCAGGGTTTCACTGGTACCTTCCCTCCTAGGACCCTGTGGCTTCTGCGGCGCCCAGTCTACGGCTTGTGTCAGGCTCCCCGCGAGTGGCACGACACGATGCGTGCTACTCTTGCAGACCTGCAGTTCTTTCCGTTTTCCGCAGGCCCCTCGCTCTTTGTTCGTTCTGGCTAGACTCCGTTCTACACCCTTGTTTACGTAGACGATCTGGTCTTTGCCACTGGAGACACCACCGCGCTAGCCTTTGTAAAGGCTGAGCTGCTAAGGAGACACACCTGCACTGACCTAGGAGAGCTGCGCCACTACCTGGGCCTGCAGATCTCAAGAGACAGAGCAACGCGCACCATCACTCTCACCCAGTCACACTTGGTGCGCCAGGTCCTTCAGAGGTTCGGTCTTCAGTTCTCCTCCGCAGAGCCCACACCTCTTCCAGTAGATCACAGGCTCTCTGCTCCAGTTCCTGAAGAGTCAGCAGAGCCCAGTGGTCCTTACGCAGAGCTGGTGGGTTGCCTCATGTACCTGATGACTTGCACTCGTCCAGATCTCGCATACCCTCTCAGCATCCTGGCTTGCTTTGTGGCCACAGGCAGACACAAACCTCAGCACTGGTCTGCAGCTAAGAGGGTTTTGCGTTATCTCACGAATACATCAGGCATGGGGTTAGTGCTGGGAGGACGCAGGCCGGTGGTCCTTACTGGGCACACAGACGCTTCTTGGGCAGACGACGCAGAGACCCTTAGGTCCTCGCAGTGCTATTGCTTTAGCCTTGGTTCAGGTGCTGTCTCGTGGAGAGCTACTCGCTCCTCGTCTGTTGCCCAGTCCAGCTGTGAGGCCGAGATCTACGCCGGTGCCATGGCGGCACAGGAGCTCCGCTGGCTGACCTTCCTGCTCACTGACTTAGGTGAGCGGCCTAGCTCTGCGCCAGTCCTGTACGCTGACAACAGGGCCATAATCCTCCTGTGTCAGGAGCCTCGACTTGAGGGCAGAGCAAAACACATCATGCTGCGGTACTTCCTCCTGCGCGAGCTGCAGCAGCGTCGCCAGGCTCGCGTAGTACACTTGACCTCCGGTGCCAACACAGCTGATATCTTTACGAAGGCCCTTGCGCCTAAAGATCATCAGCAGCACTATGTACATGTAGGTCTCGTTCCTGTTGCCTCTCACTTGCTAGGGTCTTGATTATGTACAGACCTGTATATATATTTTACCCTGACTGGCCTTGTGGCCTCTCTCAGCGGCTAAACTAGTAGTGCCGCCCCGGTCTTGCTCTTGCCTTGGTTTGTACTTGTTTGACTGGTCTTTAGACCCTTGACTCAGAGGCTGGACTAGTAGTGCCGCCCTGAGTTGCCGTTTCTCTCATCAGGATCTGCACCTATGCAGTCGAGGGGGTGTGTCAAACATATATATTGGTTATGTTTGTATAGGCTGTATAGGTTTGTATCTTAGAGGGTACAACACTTAGGCGTATAACCTTGTAGGTTTTTCTCTCGACATTCAATCCTACGTTAAGAAGGCCCAACTCCAATTTTGTTGCATTGCAAAACCAGCCCCACCTAATCAGCCAAGGTAAAGCAAACAGAACAGAGCCCAAGCATCCCATTACCTAACACCCAGCTCACCATTCCTAGAGAAAACAGCAGCCATTCACAGCTCATGTCCTTTCTCCATTCTCATGTCCTTCTCTTCTCCAATGTTTTCCAGCTCCTCCATATGGCCACTCACACCCACCCATCCACCTCAAGTCAAGTCTAGTCATCATCACCATCATTGTCGCGGTTCCCTCGTCCTCCCCTCCTCCCTCCCTTCCTCCCTGAACCACTCCCATTGCAGTTACCAGACCCACTTCCGTTACAGTTCCCACTTCCACCAGCCCTGTTCCCTGCACCTGCGCCCGTGCGGCCAGCCCCCCCCTGGCGCGCCCCTCCTCCGCTCATGCTGCCCGCACGTCCACCAGCCGCGCCAGCACCCGCGCCGGCGCCACTTCCGCGGCCCTGCTGCTGCGCAGAACCCTGCCGCCCAGCGCCGCCGCCGCTGCCAGTGCAGCCGCCAGATCGGGTGCAGGAGGAGGAACCGGAGGCGGAACCAGAGCGGGAGCCAGAGCGGGAGCCGGAGCCGTCGCGCTTGCGGTCGCGGTCGCGGTCCTGGTCGCCGGAGCCGTCCCTCTTGCTATCCCTCTCGCGGTTGTCTGCCACCATGTACTCCGTGCTCTGAATGCTTGCTCCCTGCACACTCGCCGCCCTCACTCTCCCCGAGCCCCCGCCCCCACCGTTGCAGCCGCCGCCGCCGCTGCCGTTGCAGTTTCCGCTGCCATTGTTGCCCTGCCGCCGGTTCCCCACCTTTCCAGCGCTGCTGCTGCCACCCAAGCGCCCGCCACGACCCGCACCCGCGCCACCTCCGCTTCCCATACGTCCCGTTCCACTCCCGCCCCCACCGCCGCCGCCCTGCTTGCTGGCGCCAGCTTTCTGCCGGCCGCCAGTGCCGCTGCCGGTGCACCCGCCAGACTTGCCGCCGCAGGAGCCGTCGCGGTCGCGGTCGCGGTCGCGATCCTGGTTGCCCGTGCCGTCCCGCTTGCGCTCGCGCTCTGGACGGTCGTCGTCGTCGCTGTCGGCGACGGTGAAGGTCGTCAGGCTGACGACGACGAGCAGCAGAAGCGCGAGAGCCAGAAGCTTCGACGAAGGCATGATGCCGTGCAGGTACTTCAGACTGCCTGTAAGAAATATAAATCTGCTAGAAGAAACTGGACTGTTAGTGGGAGTAGGAGTAGTACTAGGAGCGGTAGGAGTAGTAGGAGCGGAAGGAGAAAGATCGTGAATGTGTGGTTCCAGACGATGAGAAGCTCCGATAATGGATTCGGGATTTATAGAGCCCTACCTTCAAGGAGTGCTCCCGCCTTGAAGGCGCCGCTGGGTTGCGCCTGCGCGGGCTCTGGGGCTCACTACCGGGCTGACTACCGCACGGCGTGCCTGCCCGGGCCCAGGCCCGGTTTCGAGCTGCACATCTGAGGGAGGTCCGCTGGTCCGCTCCGCACTCTTTGGGGCTGCGCTCTGGTTCTCATTTGGACACTGTACGCCTGGCAGGCGGGAGGCGCGAATGTGCCCCGAGTCTGCTCGTCCGCTCGAGTTGAGCAGCCGCGCGCCCCTCGGCTCGCCCCTCGGACTAGCCGCCGAGTCGCCGGCGGCGGCTGTGCGGCGACGCGCGGCGCGGGGCGTCGCAGCTAGGAGGAACGCGAGAGCGAGAGTGAGCGAGAGTGAGCGAGGGTGAACGAGAGTGAGCGAGCGAGAGCGAGCGAGAGACAGAGAGAGAGAGGGGGAGAGATAGAGCTCGCGCGAGTGTCGCGCGGGGCTCCTCAAAGGAGCCCCCGCGGGGGAGGAGGGAGGAAGGAAAAGACCCTCTGAAGACCCGTTGCTTCCTCGGAAAGAACGGGCGGAATAGTCCCGCCCCCGCTGGAGTCCCGTCGGGGCTCATCTCGGCGGGCGCCTGTTGAGAGGCCAGGCTGGCTGGACCTTACTACTGTTCAGCCAGGCCATTCGGAATCGAAATGATTTCCAAGCTGGCTGCCCCTAGGTTTTGGTTCGAAGAGGAGTCTGCCCGCCAGACTCTGGGGGGCACTGCTTTTACCTGGCAGCCAGGTACTACAGTAATGCCTTGGGCAGTCACTGGCGTGACGGCTAGTAGTGTGCAGTACTGTACCACAGCCATTGTTGGCAGGTAGACCCTGGGGAGTGGCGTTTAAAGCCCTGCACTGTCAGTGGACCCGACCCGACACGGTATACGGTAGTCAGCCAGGTGCTTTGACTCAAAGCAGAGAGCGCTAGTAGTGCTGTAGCATCATAATATCTCCTCGTGTGAAACCATGCGCTGGCTGGCAGACTGCGCTGAGCTAGCGCGCGAAATCCGTGCTGGCAGTGCTGCCAGATTCTGCTGACGAGGCAAGTCGTACTAATTGGATTGCGACCTATCCAGCTGGTTTTCTGGCGAAGGCTCGTGTCCTGCTCGTACAGCCAGAAAGTTCGCTCGAAATAGGTTCTAGTGTTTGCTGCTTCTGCGGAAATGTTCTCCTACGTACTCCTCAAAGCTTGGTGCGAGTGTGTTATAGCAGGGATGCTTACTTCATTATGCTAATTTGAATGACTACCTTTTTCAGAAAAAGTGGCTATGCCTCAATAAGACTTTCTGGTGGACCCACCATGTGCACTACAATGGCCCGTGATTCATTCTCAATTAGAAAATTACCAGATTCAGGGGTGTCGGTTACTACGTCACAAATAGTTACGTTTGCATGATACACATTTTGCTACCAATAAATATGCAAATTAAGAGCAATTATGCACTAAAACAATATGTTTGATTATACATCGGCTTACGATAAGGAATTGCTTGCATTCGTGAAAGTGACACTCGATCCTTAACCCTTGTCAAGTCCAAGCCTATGACACGAAGCACGAAGTGCAACGGTCGTTAATTGTTGGCCGACAGTCGAACAGGCAGAAGTCCAAGGGTCCGTCACGACAGCAAGGACACATAACTGTCCCTGTAATACAGCGTAGGCAGTTACCCGAGTCGTGTACAGTTACCCGAGTCGGATCTGGAACCTCTAAAGTAATGTACCCCTTTTAAGTGCATCTTAGGTAGACCCTTCGCATTCTCTTGTATCACTATATGAACCCTGTGTCCCTTTGCTATAATAAATATTGTTATGTTACATTCACTCTGACAGGGCTCATTTGTTAAATTATTTTGGTAGGTATTATTGGATTCTACTGTAGGGGGTACAACCCCCCTTCGTGTATCCCTCTCTCTTCTATTCCATCCCTCTTCTCTCTCGACATTTTCCTAGCACCTAAAACCTCTCGCCATTCATGACGTCTCTTCCTAGCTAGAATAGTTTGTGACATGGTTTCAGAGCATGTCCGTCTGCTTGGGCCTGCTCATCACGCTTCCGCACATTCCGCTCCTCGCTCCTGTCCTTTCCGCGCCGCCACCACGGCCATGTCGTGCTGCCGTGACGGCGTCGTCGTGCTGCCGTGGCGGTGTCGACGCGCCAGCGCACGGACGGCAGCGGCCAGCGCCCGGTCTTAGCGCTAGCCAGCCCGCCCGCTTGCAGCCAGCGGGCCACACGGGGCGGCACGCTCCCGGGCTCCGCTACTGAAGCCCCGCCCCTTTCCCCTGCGTCCCCTCTTCCTCGCCGCAGCTGACGGCTGACTCGCGCCGACCGTCCCACCGACACGGAGCCCGGCCACGCCACCGAATCCTGCGAGCTCCGCCACCGCCGGCAGCTGTCGTCGAAGCCGCCGCCGCTGCAGCTGGTGCCGCTAGCCACGCCGCCGCTGCTGCAGCTGGTGCCGCTAGCCACGCCGCCGCTGTCGACGCTGCAGCCGTCGCCGCCGAGGGGCCGACCCTGCTGGAGTAGTCGTCGCTGCTGCTGAGTATGGGGTTGCTAGGCGTAGGGGTGTGTGGCTTAGTGTGCTATGTGCGTGGTGGGCTTTTAGCTACAAAGCCTAGGGGGTGTGTTAAATTAAATATTTGATATATATATATAATGGTAGGCTTGGTAGGTATTACTAGATTCTACTGTAGAGGGTACAACCCCCCTTCTTGTATCCCTTTCTTCTCTATTCCATCCCTCTTCTCTTTCGACATTTTCCTAGCACCTAGAACCTCTCGCCATTCATGGCGTCTCTTCCTAGCTAGAATAGTTTGTGACATCATCGACCAATCACTCTCTTCCATAAAGCGCACTACTGCAGTCGAAATCCTGAAGATCCTACGGACTCTACAGTGACGGAAAAAACTGTCCGGATACATAATGGATACCCGTGTACGTGTCCCACTAGCTAAGGTTTATAACCCACAAATTTTTACATTGTATTGGATCGCTTCATGGTAAACATAGCCTATCAAATTCTACGCATGATACTCTTGATTAGCTTCAAATTCAAATATCGTGACGCCAGTGACTCGCTCCCGCCACAGAATGGCCCCAGGCTCGGGATCACGAGGGCAAGAAAGCCCTCCTCCTGAAGCACCTGCAAACACTTCGAATCCGGCGGCAACAATATCGTCCCAACAGAATTCCTCGAAAAATTGCTCCAACGGATGAAGATAGACATCAATCTCTCAAGATCGACGGCTTAAGCACCGCTCGTCAAACCACTCAAACGCAACCAATCTCTGCAGACAAGGACTCAACTCCAAGCTCCTTAAGCTTCGATACTTCTAACACGCAACCACATGCAACCATACAATTATGTGATGAAACACTGCAGACAGCACAATTGAAGTTCCTCGCTGATTCTAATATCAGAACAAGCTCAATTTTCGACGATCGCGATTTCTACACTTGGAGTTTTGAGTTCGAGCTTCTACTGCAGAGCGCTCAAATCTTCTGCTATTTCGACGGCTCTTACTCCTGTTCGACGATCGACATCGAAGACGCAAAACAACGATACTACAATGAATCGCTCATGGCATACAGTGTTTTTCTATGAAACTTATCCACTTCCGAGAAACTCGGAATTCAATCCTTCAAAACACACGCCGCTCCGGCACGAGACTCCTGGCTGTATCTGACAAATCTCTATCGGCCGAAGGACTCCATGTCGTCGAATCGACTACTCGACCAGCTACTAGAAGTGAAGATTGTCTCTGGGGAGAAGGCCAACACTTACATTAATCGCTGCCGAAGCATCCGCAACCAGAAGATATGTTCGTGACGATCATGCTCGCTCGACTTATCCTTTAATGGCGATTGTGCAAGGCTCTGCTACGCCAGCAGGGCGAAATTTTCGAAGCGACCCTTTGCGCGACACTGCTGGCTAAGCAGCACGACATGGACCTCTACTAGGAGAGAGCCCTACGCAAAGGAAGGCTTGCCTTCTACTCGGGCCTGAAGGAGCCTTGCCACGACGACATGCGCAATCGCTGCTACTTTTGCAAATACTGCAAAACCTTCGGACACTCCACTGAGCACGCCAACACCGAGCAAGTGGCAGCGCAAGACCATCCTATATGCCTAACCCAAGTAGAGGCCAATGGGACACTCCCACCAGAGGAGACCTATCGAACTTTCCCCTCAGGACTCGCGCCAGACCAGACGCCCGACCCACAAGGACCAGCGACCAGTTCCGCGCCCTCATGCATCTTCGGACACCCGTCTGACTCAGCCAGGCACATATGGTTGGTTAACCAACCTACCGCTAAGTCTTCATGATGATGAGAACTTGGGGTCCTACACGTCGAGCTAATCGACGTCGTCGCGTGCTGCCACCACGCCCGAGTCAAAACGACTTCGCCATAGATGTAAGGGCCCACGACTACAACAACCCCTACGACAAACACGGCAGCTACGACGGGTGATGAGGAGGAGAAAGAATGGAATCTTCCCATTCCTCTGCTAGAGCCGACACCCTACATCACCGACATGTCATTCGGAGGCGACAAACAGCACTGGGACGATTTCCCAAAGGACCACCTCATGCACGACTCAAATCATCCTTACAGGCTGACCCTGAGAATCACAATGATCGCCTGCAACAACAGGGACAACTACAATACCTGGTACTTGGACAGTTGCTGCGAACAGCACATGGTCAGATTTGCGTCTACAATGTCTTCCCAACCCCCGCTGCAGCCTACATCAACATCGCCAACAACGAGCGGTTGGTGGCCAAGCACCAAGGGATCATTGTACTACAAGCCCGCAACACTCTGACACACATCACTCTAAACGACGTGCTCATCGTTCATAATCTTCGCTACAACTTACTCTCAACAGCTCAACTCATGTCATGTGGCGTTGAGACAAGCACCGACCCTCAAACTTGCCACCTCCTGCTACACTACCAGAAACCAACTCAGCCTAATGAACCTGAGAACCCACCTCGGTACATCGGAAGGGCATTAGCAGTCGACGGAGTCTACGTTCTAGACTTCGACATCCCCAACTGCAACGGCGAAAGCCATGAGCTGATTGACCTCGTTCCACTCAACTTCGCATGGAAGAACGAGGAGTGGACTCACCCCGACGGCCGCCCGTGGGTCACTCACCACATGCACCCATCTGAGACCAATTTGCAAGACCCTGGACCAGACGGTATCTGCCATACCTGTCAAACTCCAACAGCCTCCTCAAGCAACATCGCTGGGATAGGACTCCAAACTCTCGAAGAAGATGAGATGGAGTCCCTTCTCACTCCAGAGGTCGGCATCATGGCTCTAGTGTTTGTCGCAGCATTCACCATCATTTTTCACCCTCAGGAACCATGGTCCCTCCCCACAACTCAAGACAACGCTTTGAAAGCATTCTGGTCCACGTGGGACCAAGCTCCTTTGACAAAACTAGATGAGCAAAGCCATGGGAGTTGACCACTCACATGGCCTTCAACCTCAACACGAGAGAGCCCACGCCACGAGAAACAGCGGACCTGACCACGAAACTCGCATCCGACATGGATGTGTGGGCAAGCGCTTTCAGAACCATTGCTGTCCAGCACGGTCCATCGTCACTAGAGGCAGCCAAAGCAGCACATGCAACCATGGTCGCAGCATCAGCAGCACGAGAGGCAGTAGCAGCAGTGGCAAAAGCAGAGGCAGCAAAAGCAGCAACAGCAGCGGAAGCAGTAGCAGCAGCAACAGTAGTCGAAGAAGCACCAAAGAGAGCAGTGGCAGAGGAAGCACATCCAGAGCCACCACAACTAACACCAAAACTCAGAGTGGAGGCCCAGTATCAGAAAAGGGCATTGTTTGGGGTAATCTCTCTCCCCAACAACCCTTGAAAAATGCACCAATGGCTGAGGGGTGGGGCAAAGGCCCGAGGTTTCCCTTGGAGATCTCGCTAAGATCCTTAGCCAGGCACCAGAGAAACGTCTAAACCTGGCCACCAAGTATGAAGATTCCAGCGCACGTTGTACGCAGTGGGGTGGCTTCCTTGACACCTGGGGCCACGCTGTCTAGTTGGGGGTCGGTATTGCTGCTCTACATGGAGGCTGGCCCCAAATTTACAGAGAAGCTACT